AAAGTTGAATAGTAGCAGCTCAGAGTTAAACCAAGCCTTTTGAAAGCTTGCATCCACTGTAGATGCACAGGAAAACCTGAGAAGGCGGCAAAGTACAGGTCAAGTATTGCTCAATGTATATAGCATAATTAAAAAAAAGAATATTAATAGCTTTGGCTTTTTACTTTAGGTGGAAGAAACACTTCTGTTTCTATGAGGCAGCAGAAACAATGACTTTATTATCACAGATATATTTTCTTGTAGTCTTAAAGGCAGAATGGACAATATTCATTTAGTTATGTCTATAATGCATAGGGACTTCAGATATGCAAATGAAGAGTTACGGGGATCTCCACCCTACTAAATTTAACACATTTAAGATGAACAGTGCAGGAAGGAGATGAGAAAAACAAAAGGTATAAAGATTATATATAAGTTAGATAAAGCAAAACTTGTAAAAGGGAAGTAACCTATCATCTAACAATGGCCAAGGCAGTAAGAGTCAGAACAACAGAAATTTAGATAATTGGATTTCTAAGCACCACTGCTGCTGCATGTACGTAAGAGCTAATTACTTGTATGTCGTTTCACAGGGCAAAGACAGGATGCAACAAAACTAATAATTCCACTAACATGATTATCCCATTCAGGCCCAATGAGGGCATAATCCTGGTTTGTTCATTAGCTTTCTAAGATCTCAGATAATAGTACATCTTAAAATCATTTCCAAAATTGGGAAATGCATGCCTAATAGAGAACCTTACCAGTCACACTGCACACACAGAAAGGTAACTTGCAACTACCTACAAAGAACTGTAGTTATATCTCATGGTACTTTATTCATTAATCACCAAAGTCAATTATGCTAAACTCACAATTGAAAATATTTATTCCCTTTTTATACTAGGAACCTTAAAACAAAGTGCACCAGAAATTCTGTGTCGTAACCATGCTGAGTTTCTCCAAGTGATGCTTCTTCTCAAAGCACTCAATGTTAGACAACTATAATCACCTTTTCTGTCATGAACCTGTAATTAGTCTAAAAATTAATTTTATTACTCTTCTTCTGCTACCAATAAAATTTCAGGGTCAATCTCTAGCTCTGAGCATGTGTACACAACTTTCACACCCATTTACTTCAAAGGTCACAGTGACAGCTTCCCCGTTTAATGGCTTTTGATTTATTACTAATTCTCAAACATAGAGGCCCATAAGCGGAAACACAGCCTAAAATACAAAAGTATAACTTTCACCATCTAGAGGATCTGAGCTGGCTCAGTATGCATCTGACTCAAACTCTTCCCAGGATATTATTAAATATCCTCTGCCTCATTGCTTATGATAACAGGTGAAGCTGGGAGGGGTGTGGGGGGGTGGAGAGGTTTCCCCAATGTTAACATTAATAGCACAGTCTAAGACACAGGAGTTGCATGTACATGTAGTGGTGACTGGTGCACAATAAATGAAATTGTGAGTTATTTTGTCTCAAAAAGCCCTAGGTTTTCTAAAACTAAGTCATCAGTAAATTTGGTGTGCTCTTTATATACATCATTTTCGTATCTCCTGACTACCGACTCAGTTGCAGATTATTAGTGGAACAGCATTTCATTAATTTTGCTTGAGGACTGCCAAAATCTAAGATGTGCCTCTGTATATGTAACAAATCAAAGGGAGTTAACGACATTCATGCTTGCTGAAGCTCATTTTTGCTACTGGCCACCATACATAGTACTGCTACTGCTCAGATTTCAAATTTTTAAAGAATGGTAAAATAAATGCTTACTCAGCGAAAAAAGGGGGAAGGGGAATCAAAGTGTGGGAGCATGTCTGTGAATCTCTGGAAGACAAGCAAGATACTGATAATTTGGAATTTCAAGAGTCCACCTTGCAAAAACAAATCCAAAGGCAAAGAATTCAGCAACACAAGTAATTTATTTATACAACATATATTCCAGCATATCATTTATTATACAAAAAATTCTTATGAAAAAGTGTACATGTTACTTATGATATATGCAATCCTAAACCAGGACTTTAAAACCCTTTCTGAGGAGACAAGTAGTACTTTTATCTTTTTTTAGTTACCAGAAAAGAGAGTTAGAAGTGAACTGTGTTGCTGCAGTTTTATTTCAGTATATCAGGGAAGGTTAAGGAGGTCTGAAGCAATGCATTTAAGTACCACATAAAAAGAAGTCTGAGGACAAAGCAAGTTAAAGGAACTCCTGATAAGAAGTATTCAATAATAGCTGTATTTTTTTCAAAAAGATAATGGAGAGTAATCAACATTAAAAGATAAACACAATTAATAAATACGTATTTTAAAATCTTTCCATTTGATGTTTCACAGCGTATCTGCACTGAAAAAAATCAAAACATCATCTTAATGCAAACCAATGGGTCAGGCTTTTAATAATAACGTATTTGAATACTTTGTATTTCATCTCACTGAACGTTAATAAAGGTCATTAATTAAACCCCAAAGACCCCTAATGATTTAAACAGTCATTTCATAATTGCTGAGGTACAGTCACTTTAAATGAGCCACTGCAGTCAATTAGTGCAACAAATGCTTTGATGTTACAAAGCAGTTTTGCATGACGTGAACGTTACTCTGCAGGACAGAGGAGCTGTCAGGATGTGAATAAGGGAAAAAAATTCCACAGGCTTTAACGATTAGGCTTGTTTTCTCAAAATATATTTACCTATTTTCTCTTAAGCTTGTTATTACAATGCTCTGAAACCTACAGAAGAGGGAAAAAAATCTTGGTAGTTTCTAGACTCAGAGATAATACAGAAGTGTCAAGAATTTACTTTAAATTTCTTGGTTTGTCTGTTAGAATTTTAAGCCTTATTTTGACAGCAATAGGACAATAATGGACTACTGTGGTATTGTAAATCAAAAAAAAGAAATAGCGACAAATTTTGATTAAACCTACGGAACAAACCCATCTGAATACTCAATTTTCTTATGACTCATATGCACTTGACAAATTAAGATTTGCAAGAGCTTACAGTAACACTGTTGGGGTTCTATTGGTTTTTTTTAATCTAAACTCACTACAGCAAACCCAAGAAGCACCAGTAACACCGGTTTTGAAACACAGTATTAGAATATAGGAACTACAAGCCCTAACGGAATTCAGTAAAACTGCAAAAGCAACAAGTCACAACTGGGAATTCGCTTGTTGGCTCCTGGCAGTGTCACCACACTAGGAACACCCAGTTAAACCCTTGACTGTTTCCATTACAGTGTTTGTAAACTGTTTGTTTAATAACAATATTCCAATGTGCCAGACACCATTTTGCACTGCAAATACCTTCTTGTATTGTAAAATCAACTAAAGTCTGGTAATTTCCAGGAGTATACAGCTGATCACATTTCAAGGTCTAAGTATAATTTGCAAAGTTTGAAAGTGTAATATTAGAGCTGTTTTGCAGTTTTCATCTTTAAATCTGTCTACAAATCTAAACTCACAGAACAGTTGAGGTTGGACCTCTGGAGGTCATCTTGTCCAATCCCTCTGCTCAACAAGGGCCACCTACAGCCAGTTTCCCAGGACCATGTCCAGACAGCTTTTGAGTACCTCCAAGGAAGGAGATTTCACAACCTCTCTGGGCAACCTGTTCCAGTGCTCAGTCATCCTCACAGTAAAAACCAACTGTTTCCTGATGTTCAGAGGGAACCTCCCATGTTTCAGTTTACGCCCGTTGCCTCTGGTCCTGTCACTGGGCACCACTAAAAAGAGCCTGGCCCTGTCTTCCTGCACACTCCCTTCAGGTATTTATATACATTAAAAAGATCTCCAACTGACACCTTGCAAATTCTAAGAAAATTCCATCCTCAGTTTCTCAGAAGTAATTCTAAAATCTCACTTAGAGAACTGTCCAGCACTTGCTATATAAGAATGTGCTTGTCTTACAATAAGCCATATTGGAACTTGTTGATATTCTCAACATGTTTTGAAAAACATTCTAAGAACCACAATAAGATGACAAGTAACCTTTTATGTAAACTATTAAAATACAGATAAAAATGCTAGATGAACGTAAAAAAAAGTGTGACCTGATTTATATTTGTAGAAATAAGAGTTTACAAGGAAAGGTAAAACCATAAATTGTCATGGAGAGAAAAAAAAATTCATCTTATGTAAATTGTATCCTTATTCTCAGCCTACCTCCACGCTAATGCCATCAGCAGCAGCCATAAATGTTGATAACTTTCTAATTTTAGAATTAAAACCACTTATATCCACAGCATTTGAAGGCATAACTTTTATTTATTGGTACTACGACTTCCCTCAGCACAAAACCAAATCTTTATAGAACGTATTCTGCTTTAAATTTGCAGTAAGAAACAAAAGGAAAGCTCAAAAGAGGATTTTTTCCCCTAACACTAATAACACACTTTTCTTTTTAAACCTGCTTCCTTGCAAGCAACAGTGTAAGGAATCTACCGCAAAGCTCCAGTTTCTTAAGAGCTCTTCAATATTGGCTTAAGTAAGACAGGACAATCGCACAGCTTTCCCTTCAGACATCAAAGATGTCAACAAAGAGTCAAATCTAGAAGCACGTACAGAAACTTCAAAGCTAGACAAACACTTCCTATTCAAGTTAGTGAAAGGCATTAAAACCGCCGATTTAATCACTCTTGCCAGTTTGGTCACGGTCAGTCACAACCACAATTTGGGGTGTTTTTGTGCCCAAGAGATGGTTTTACTGATTAAAAAAAAAAAAAAAGAGAGAGAGAGAAGAGCGCGCTAGAAAGGGAAGGCTGCCACATATCGAAGATGGAGTCACAAGCCGATGAGATGCGAAGCAGGACTAATCTGCCCACAGAGAAAACAATCACTGACAGCGCAGGAACCAGCCAGAACGGAATCCTCCCCCCACAAGAGGCAGCGGGCTGGCGACACAAAGCAGTGCGGTAACTACCCAGCCTTCACACCTCCGCTTCAAACCCCAACAGCAGCCCCACGCACCCAGCTACGCGGACGAGTAAGTCACACGCAAGCCCGCCGTACCTCGTTTATGCAACTCCCGGAGCGGAATGCCGTCCCCTCCCCCGCCATCGTAGGGCAGATACGGATCCGCAGATACATCCATGGACGTGCCGAACCCCGCAGCCCGCTCGCCGGCTGA